TCCTTTTCTCAGATTTTTACAGATATATATATATATATTTTTTCCGTTGGTCTTTTCCTTTCTGAGTTCAGTGTCATCTCGAGTGCTCTGGAATGATTTTCAAGACTCTTTTCTTTGGATTGACAACTTCCTTTGAGGACCGAGTCATTTCCAAATTTTTCGTTTTTCGATACTATTCACTTTTCGTCATTTTCCCTATTTCGTCATTTTCCCTATTTTGTCTTTTCCCCATTTATCACTTTGTTTGTAAAACCACACTTCTTACGTTTAGAGTTGTTTTTGACTTCATGTATCTTCATTCAAAGTGGTTTCCACGAAATACGTATCTTTACTTTTGTAAGAAAGTACTCTGGTTGCTCCCGGTGTCCATAGGGGCATGGATGCATAGTTCTTTGGAATTGTTTTCTTTTCTTGAGGTATTTTTCGTAAATATATTTTGAAGATATTTTATTTCAGGGGTTTTTAAGAAAATATTTTTGGAAGATATTTTCTTTCTGGGGCATTAGTGTAGTTTTCACTTTTTAGAGAGGCCATTGTGCAATTAATGAAAGTTATTGCAAAAATACCTCATCTGGAGCCTGGATCCTCGTATGGGATTCATTTTCACATTTTGTCAGGTCGTGCACTCTTAGAATTTCCTCCTGGTCGTTATTTTCCAGTTTCAAGGTTTTTAGCCCTAGTTGCCGCCGAACTTGTTTGGGGCATAACTTTCTGTTCGGGACTCAATTTTTTATGATGTTTCTTCCGTTATTCATATTTTCTCATTTTGAATCTTTTTCGTTCACAGAGTTTTTCCGTTTGAGAGTGTCTGCTCAAATTCCACTTTTCCAGACCTGGAGGGGCCCTTTCGGGGCACTTTTTGAGATTTTCTATAAATAGGGGACTTAAAGAAGAAAAGTCAGATTTTGATCATCTTCCTCCCCCTCTTGGCCGGCAGCCATGGGAGCTCCTTGGGCTGCCACCTTTTCTTCTTCTCCTCTACTTGATTTCCTAAGTGAAATGTCTTTGGCCTTCACGTTTATTGTTCCTCTCAACGAGCTCTACCTTTCCCCCTTATTAGAATCCATTTCTGATCATTTCTTGAGTTCGGGTTTGAAGTTAAGTTGTGATTTTCATAGGGCTTCCTTCGAATTCTTGTTCATCGTGTTGTCCCCGACAAAACCCTTTGGTTTCGTCGGATTCGGAGCACTTTTATTTCGGTGGGCTTTTGAGATTTTCATCTCAAATTGAGGTAGGGGATGTTTTAGGATTGTTTATGTGTTGTATTAAGTGTTTCTCATGATTATACAACTTGTATGCATGCTTTTGTGTAAAATCTAGAATTTAATTTAATTAATTTCTATGGTTAGAATTTAATTCTCATGATGATGTATAACTTAGAATTAAATTGTGGCATGGTAGAAAGTTTGGATTTAATATGTTTGTTAAAATATATTAAATTGAAATTAATTGAATAAGAATTGCACTTTTTATTTAATATTTTTCTTTTGTGAAAGATTAATTCCCATGATCATACCTTACATGAAATGAACTTGTAATATGCTTTTAAATTAAGTCTTGGCATGTTCCTTAACATACTCTAATTTGAGAGCCTTTGGATAAGTATAAAAATCTAGAGATTTTAATCAAAATGATTAATTAAAATCCATTTAATGGTTATATTGGCCTAATTAAGTTTTTAACTTAATATTTGTGATGACTGGGGCTTGTATACTAGCATATATTAATTTGGGACCATTTGATGTTATTTTAGAATTTAGGGATTTAATTATCATGTTTTAATTAAATTCTATCCTATTGATCCAATGACCTAAGTAAGCTTTTGATTTGATTCATGTAATGAAAAAGTTATGTTGTTTAACATATATTAATTAGGGTTCATTTGATTGAGATATGAAACTTAGAAAAATTAATTAGGTTATATAATTAATTTCTGTTTCTATTGCGTTATTGATTAAATCATGTGTTTAACATTAATATTATATTTGAAGCATGATTTTAGACTTGTAATGGATTTATGCGATTATGTTTCAATATTGAATTATATTGTTATAGCGTGTAACGAATTGCACATTGAAGATTCAACATGTGATGTTATTATAGCGCGTAACGAATCGCGCTCTGAAGATTTGACATTGTCATCCTATAGTAGTTGTGGATTTAGAGCATGTATTGTGTGGTTTCGACCTACTTGTGCATGGAATGTACTTTTGTGTTGTATATATATTTTTCGTATATGAGTTGTTAACTTATTTTTTTTAGAGTCACTTGGGACATGGTTACTATAACATGACTAGAGTTTGGCTTTAGTGCGGGAGGCATGAGTTTTCCCCGTCAAGGTAGTACGCACTAGGGGTGGTATTACCAGCGGGTTAGTGCCCGTAATAGCCGTTGAGGTCTCGGTAGAATTCCGAGCTTAGATGTCCAAGTATTCTACTTTTGATTTCGCACATTTAGATTTCTAGTTAATAACCTAGAGAATTTATGTCTTGATGTGTGAATCTATGTCTTGATGTGTGGTATTAGAAATTCTAATTATACTGAATTGTTATATTTAGCTGATTTCACACTTTTAGATTTCAAGTTGATAACTTTGAGAATCTATACCTTGTTGCTTTGTATAGCATGCTTCTATGTTGGTTAAATTGCATAGATATTGTGATTCGTACTTTACTGTTCAAATGTGACTTAGGAATGATCCTATAGGTTAATTTGTAACATATATGTTAGGTGGCATGACTCACTTTGGTTGTTCTTGCATCTTAGATTTCAAGTTGATGACTTTGAGAGTCTATATTTTGTCGCTTTGTATAACATGCTTCTATGTTGTTTGAATTACATGAATGATGTGTTTTATGCTAGAAATGATCTTAGGCAGCTTAAGATGCCCCCTAAGTCTCACCTTTGACATAGACGCTAGGTGGAATGAACCACGATATTTAAATAATTCAAACATATAAAACGTTCGGTTGATGCATGCTTTTATGTTGCTCACCCCAAAGTTACTGGGACATATTTTAGGTACAAGATACAAGATTGGAGATTTGCACTTGCTTTGGGTGAATTGCAGAATGGAAGTTTCTTTAAAAGCATTCTTGTTCACATGCAAGTGTTCGCATGTTTAAGTTTTGTCTATGAAATGTAATTTTTCTAACTTAAAGGTTTGACATGTCAAATGCTATAAATGAATTGTAATAAGGCCATAGGCCATATCAGCATGTTTAAAAATGTTATTTTACACTTGCATGTATGTTCACATCATCACACATTTGCATACAATTTAATTTGATCATGCAATGGGGGATCCGATTGAGCTTTAGGGACTTCTTTTCATTTTTGGTGCATAATAGGTTCATTTTGCATTTTCAACCTGTTTTGGTCGACCGGTAGCTTGTTTCGGTTGACCGATGGCCTTTGAATTTCTGTTGAACAGTAAAAGTCCAATTCTAGTAGCCTTTTTCAGTTTCGAGCCACAAACCGGTCAACCGGTTTATCATTTCGGTCGACCGAAATGAAGGCTCTTTTCCTTCTTTTTCTTGGCTCATTTCGGTAGACCGAAGCTCTATTTCGGTCGACCGAAATGGCGCTGCTTTGTAGGTTTTGTTTCATTGATTGTTTCTTCAGGCCTTTATTGCTTCATTCCTTCCTACTGGATTTTATTAATCTTGTGTAAGCTATTTAGTGGTGTTCTTGGTTTAGTTTGAATTAGATTTTGTCCTTTTAGTTGTTATTGGTGCCATAGGGTACCATTTGACCCTTTTCATGTTAGTTTTCGCTTCCGTTTATTTCCTTAAGCTCCGTGACTTCATGGAAGGTCACATTGGTGTTTTGGGGATGGTTTACATCTCTATAGACTTTGGGTTTATCTTTTGCTTCCGCATTTCGGATCCGTTATTGGGTCAACTTTCAGTTCATCATTGACACACCGGGTTGAAAAACTTGGGCTGTCACAGTAACAATAAAAGGTAATTATAAACTCTCTCTCCATTTCGTTCATTGAATTTGAATCCATGAACAAAAGTATGGACAAATGATTACTCTCCATGAATAAGGTTGTGAGAAGAGCTTCACCCATTTTTTTTTTGAGTTACGTTGTTGTTTCTGAGGTGGATTCTACAGTCCCACCATACTCAATACATCATCATCATCCAATAATTAAATTCACAAATTCACAGATTCAATAATGAATTTCACCAAATACCCAACTTCAAATTGAAATAGAAAGAATTTTTATTCAACTTTTAAATGAAATTTTTTTCAATTTCAATTCTAATTAATCAATTCGATATTCCAAAATGCAATATTACAGTATATTTGTTGATAAATTTACTTATATTAGAGAAGTATATTAATTTACTTATACTAAGAACAATAAGAGGTTTTTTTAGGAAAAGACTATAATATCATACTATTATTGCAAAATTGAAAGATACGGATATTGTTTTTCTTTCAAAGAAACATCTGAATAAACACAATTTTTTTTGAGTAAAATATACTAGTATTATTTTTTTTTTTCAAATGTTTCTATTTTTATTTTGATAATTACATTTTATTGTTATAGTATGTGGTAATGATAAAATTAAATATTGAAACTAAAAATAGGGTGAGGGTGGGTTTGTGTTAAAAAAAAAAAAAAAAAAAACAGACCATAAATGAGTTTGAAAATGACCGTTAGATTAAGTTTATATAGAAAATGTGTATTAATTTTCTTGTTCCATGTATTATATATATATATATAATAAATATTTCAATAGTAATAACTGCTGAAAATAAATATGATATTAGAAAGCAAGTAAAGTACATGAAATGACTTACTGAAAGAGAAAATTTTAACTTGACTGACCAAAAAAAAAGTACATCAAATGAAAATAAAGCTGTGATGTGGAGATGTGCAGAGAGACTTCTTCATTCTTTAATCCTTCATATATACTGGTCCTCCAATGGTATCAGAAATTTTCACTTATCCCATGTTTTTCTTTCATTAACCTTTCTTGTCTCTTTCACCACCAAAATTTCCTATGCCTAATTTGATTTCTAATTGTCAGAAAAATAAGAAATCCAAAGCCGCCAAGGACAGCAGCCACTATTGCAATGATGATTACCGTCATCCCTCCCAAAAGAAATAACTCCATAGCTCTGCGCAATGCCCAACGAAAAACCTCGATAGTTTTGCATGTAAACACCCTTACCTCATTTTTAAAGTCATCAGCTACTGCAAGGTATGCTTGCATGAACCAACTTAAAGCATTTACAAGAAAGAGGCAACAAATGAGGATTACACTAATAGCGAGCACCGGTGAATGTGCCAACACAACATAAAAGCCGGTCATGAATGCAACCACCATTGCTGCAATAGCGCATACAAGGGTTGCAAGAGCGTTGCGATAGCCGTTAGCACACTTAGTTTTGTCTTCATAAGTGGATGCAGATATGTGGGTAAATACAGCTTTAATGGAGAAGATCATAGCAATAGCATCCGTCAAGACAAATACTTTGAAAGCTGCTCGTCTTATTAAAACTGCCATACCTTGATTTGGCCCATCGTTGCCATCATAGCCTCCTGGAATGGTGAAACCAGCTGCAAAGGTCATGGTTGCTATAAGTGTAGCTACTATCAAATTGTTGTCCGCAATTTTAGTAGCCAGCTCATTCAATCGAGTAGAGTCGTTTCCTTTGTGTATTTTGAATTTGAATTTGTTTCGGCGACTCACTTCTGGTACCTGTGTTTTTTCCAAATTAAAAAAATGAAATAAATTTGAAAACAGCAGTACTGATTCTATCGCCAAAATTTGCTAATCATATCATGAAAATTTGTGCAAGTACATTAAGACAACTTAATACAAGGCACTTTAATTACCTGTAAATTCACACCTTTTATCAAGATTAATGTATTGTTACAACACTTATGATCTAACACCTGATGACATGAACTTGTGTGCGATTTGAATCTATACATACAAAATTCACTGTACTAATTCACTGATACCCTCAACCATCACATAAACTTTTCATCTACACAAGGACAATGACTCTTCTTTTGACAAGGTAGCATATTTATAATTCCAAATATCTAAGCAATTAGACAAGGTAGCATATTTAGCAATTAGCATGTATTCAGGAAATGAATTTTTTTTTCATATTATACACAAGCTATGTACCATCCTTACCTCATGTGGATACATTTCACGGTTGCCACCATATACTACTTTGAGGGCAGTCAAAACTTTGGCCTTGCTATCCTCGCTACGATCATCTTTGAGACAGTACTTCTGATAATCGGATTTAGCACAAAGCAAATGAAGAGGGGTGTTTCGATCTATGTCTTTCTGATTTATGAGGTTGTTGGAGAAGGAATTTTCTAAGATAAATTGGATTGTTTCATTTTTCTCGTTCTCCACTGCAATGTGGAGGATATTCTGACAGTTACTGTTAATCATCTCCCAGCAATCTGGACAATATGAAAAAAGTACTTTCATGATATCTAGATGACCTTGACTAGCTGCTAGGTGAAGAGCAGTCTTATTATCATCTGCTTCTGCAGCAAGGTATGCCACGGATTTATCTAGATCAAGTAGCTGTCTAACTGCTGATACATCACCAAACCATGTAGCATAGTGAAGTGGACTCCATCCATATACATCTGCTTTCTTGATTAGTGATGGCTCCCAGTCGTATAATTTTTCTATGCATTCTGAAAGAGAACATTGTATTAGCAACTCATACTAGCTAACAAGTAAAAATAGATTAAACGTACATATATAAGAGTAAAAGTAAAACATATTTGAACTTGCTTGTTCCTTTAGTAAAACATAATAATTTGGATTTTTTAATTAATTTTATTTAAATCCTTTTTTTTATGCGGTAATGACAATACGTGAACGAGGTCCTACTTCAAATACTAATAGCCTTGTAATCTTGTGCTATTTTCTGACCTTTCAAACTAGAAGGTTAATAGAAACAAAAAATTAATTTTTTTGGCCAATGAAAATAATAATAAAAAAATGGCTACTCCAAATTAAAAACTGGAACCGGGTCAATTAATCTATTGGAGAACGGCATACTCAATTAGCATTAAGAACTTTTCATACTGGCGGAGTATTCACAGGGGACTACAGAACATGTATGAGCCCCTTCTAATGGAAAAATAAAATTCAATGACGATTTGGTTCATCCGACACCTACACCAACCCGGCACAAAACTAATTTGTGTTATCTATGTTTTTTTTTCACTTCTGCAAACTAGCAAAACAGTTGAAGAAAATATTTTGTTATAGGAACTACCTTTGTCATAAGAGATTGTTGCCGCGTGTAAAGCCGTTCGTCCATTTGGACCAATGTAAGCCTGTGAAATGTAAGCTTTTGAAATGGTATTTTCCAAAATTTTGGACAGAATAGATAGATAACATCTTTGCGCAGCCAGGTAAATTAGATTCTCCTTGGCTTTGTTGGGTGGATGTAAATACTCAGGGTCTTCCGTCATCAAAATGTTAACCACATCAAGATGATTATTTCGCACAGCCTCGTATAAGGCCGTCTCCCCCTCCACATTACTCATCCTCAGCATCTTCTTGGTCTTGGTAACTCTAGTCCCGCCTTCGAGGTCTTGATCGTCGCCTGTTTTTGTAGAATCAATGAGTTCTTGTACTGTGGTAGTGTGTCCTTCCCTTGCTGAAATGTGAAGTGAAGTCTCACCTTTGATATTCACAGACGAAACCAGTGATCCATACTTCTGTAAGATCTCTTTCACACATTGTGTTTGGCCGAATTCAGCTGCGATGTGGAGGACTGTGTTTTTGTTGGGCGTCACTTGGACTTCAAGCTGAGCAAATTTTTGTATGACATCAACATTTCCCTCTTTGGCTGCGTTGTATAAGACTGAATCCATAGTCTCAGTTTTCAGCCTGCCTTAGCTTCCTGAAGCGAAGTTTTGCCCATTTATTCACTTGCCCAGTTGACTTTGGGCGTCCTCGTTGTTACATATATATGCAAGTTGTTGAATTTTAAAGAAAATAAAAGACACAACCAGTACGTTGAATAGAGAAGCATTTTATCCAACCAACAACTTGTATTTCTACAATTATCAAATGAAAAAGGGACAGTTGAAGTAGCTAGATCCACAAGGAATCTTATGACGGATTAGTATATAGATTTGTAAACAATAGGGATTAAGGGATGACCAAGAAATAAAGTATACTAATTTTGTTTGAAATTAATACAACTATTTGCTATTGGTTATGGACGTCATGCATGCTTGCTATTAACTACGTCACTGCATTTTAAAGAAAATTAACTAGCTGGAGCACATGAATAGATTCGTGAAAATGGAGCTTAAAGTTCTCATCAACAATTAATTATTTTTAGAAAATTAACCGCATTTTTTATGAAAGCCGGTAGAAGTCTTTGACTTTATTACAGTATGATATTGGTCAGTGAGTCTTCAAATTCACAGAAGAAGCCGGTTCTTCATGTGTACGTAACGGTCGCTAATGCATTCAATGGGCAAGAAACAACCGGTTCAATCGTGCACGCAGTTGCTGGTTTCTTCAATATCAAAAATCAACTAGTTGGCCAGAAACAACCAGGCCTACTGCATAGAACCGGCCAGAAACAGCGGGTTCAGTGGCGCACTTGCTGGTTTCTTGAATATCGAAAAGCAACTACCTGACAAGAAACAGCCGGTTCAGTCGTGCACTAGCCGAAGTGAAGCGTTGACGTTTCAAATCTGGGACAATGTGCTCCGGCCCACACATCCTACTATCCAAGCCTCATCCTGTATCCAGATGGGACTATTATAATTTATTCGTTAGCTGCCCATTATTGTACACAAACAAAATAAACTCAATATATAGGCAGGAGAATAGCAATCCGGCATCAACACGGGAAATAAACTCAATTATAACACTCTTAAAATCACATATGTTTAACTATTCTATCTGTAGACAAATATTTTTTTTTTGGTTAATGATCTGTAGACAAATATTGATTGTTAGTTTTTTTCTTTTATTTCGTGTTTTCATTTTCATTTTCATTATTCCATCATTAAGTCTACTTTTAGTAATTAATTTCTTATAACGTATTATTACCAAGTATTTTTAATAATAACTACAACATAAATTCATGAATTTGTCATTTATATGATCTTAAAAAATTCATTAAAAGTCGTTAAATATCTATCTTCATTGAATCAAATTGTAAAAATTGAGCATTGGTGCTTTTTAAGCTTTATGTACAATGTCAAAAAATTCACGACTGTGATTAAACCGATACATACAAGCACGATTGTGTTATGTGAACTAAGGTCTTAAGTTAATATAATACGTTAGTGCCCCTCAAGTTATGATAAAACTGAACCTTTTTTTTTTTTTTCGAAAATTCAAGGCAATTTATATATATTAACAAGTGTCCATACATAACCCAAAGGATTGTTAGCCGAAAGCTAACCAACCAAAAAGGGCCCTGACTTGGCCCAAAGGCCTACAAGGCTAAAGGCCAACAAAGCTTAAAGAACCAAAAAAACATTTACATAGTTGTTACTAAAGTCTTCACATTCGGTGACCATGGAGAATGACTCCAACATCCATTGACGGCTGTCAACGTATAGTGACGTCCGGTGGCTTTCGCAGTGGCCGGATTGTGGAATCAGGAAGCTCCCATTCATCTGCAACTCTGCACGGGATGGTTGTAATTGCGAAATTGGAAGAAAGAAGTTTGGATCTTACTGATTGCAGTGTCAAATGGAGAATTGAATTGGCAGATAGGGACTTCTTTTTGAAGTTCCGACGATTACGTTCAATTCAAATGTTGTAGACCAGAGAAGCAAGACACATTTTTGAGATGGATTTACTGTAGACACCATGGTTCCCATTCCAGTGGTGAGATGCCCAAGGTTATCAAATCATTCCAGGTGGAGGGAAGGATATAGAACCCACAACGCATTTGAATAAATGGCCATAAGGGTTTAGAAAATGAGCACTTGAAAAATAAATGATCATGGGATTCTGGATCCTTGGAGCAAAGAGGACATAATATGGCATTGATATGGGCAGTGCATCTCATATTTAGTGTTGGAAGTTTATTTTGAATGGCCACCCAAAGAGTGAAGGTATGCATTGGGATTGAAGGTTTGGACCATATCAAATTTATCCAAGGTAGGGAGGGTATTTGGTGAAATTGGTGTTTTAGAGTTGAGGCAATTGAGAAGTTGCCTGAGGGGGAAGGACCCCAGATGAACTTGTCTTTTCTATGATGGTTGGGGATTGGAAGGGAGGAAAAGCACTGCAACTGGGGAAGTAACTCAGTTATAGTTTTTGGGAAAGACTATATGGAAGCTGTGATGAAAGAGCATAGCTTTATCTTGCAATCATGTCCCGATTCATTTATTTGTTGAGGGGAAACAAGGAGGTGTAGGGGCTTAAGATGGCACCAACTATCAAACCAAAAATTTGTGATTCTTCCATCACCAATTTGCAGTTTGATAAGAGGCTTGATTTTCTCTCTCAGGCTCAGAATCTTCCTCCAGCTCCAAGAGCACTGCCCAGGTATCTTCACCTCCCAAATACTTCTTCCTTTAAGTAAGTAGGTTTCTATCCAATGTACCCATAGCATTTCTTTTGAACTGTTAATTCCCCAATAGTGTTTTATGATGGCAGTTTCATTCCAAGAAGCTAGGTTAGGTAGCCCAAGATCCCCTAACCAGTTAGGAAGACAATACTTCTCCCAAATAACCTTCCCACCAATTTTTTAAGAGCTGGGCTAGTCCATAAAAAGGATCTGAAAATAACCTCTAATTCATGAATGATGCTCATTGGAAGAACAAATTTCGAACTCCAATACATCTGTGTCGAGAAAAGCACAACCTTGATCAGCTGAAGACAACTTGTAAAAGAAAGATTTTTGCTTGTCCAGTGGCTGATTCTTGAGGTTATTTTGTCAATCAAAACCCTACAATCAGTGGTTTTCAGAATGGTAGTTATAAGAGGAACACCAAGGTATTTTATTGATAGATCACCCTTCTGGAAGCCAAAGAGATCAAGGATGTCAGCCTCTTTATTAGCAAAAGTCCAATTAGTAAAATGTTGTTTTTCCCACGGTTAATTTGTTGACCAGAGATGGAGGAGAATGTTTCTAGGTAGTGCATAATGGTTGAAGAGATTGGATACTTCCATGTGAAAAAAGCATGAGGTCATCTATAAAGATTAAGTAGGTAAGGTTCAACTTTTTGCATCTCCAATGGTGTTTAAATGGTCTTTCCTTGGTGAATTTATTGACAATGAGGGAAAAGACTTGCATGATTATGACAAAAAGGAATGGTCAGAGGGGGTGTAATACCCCTAATTTGAAAAGGATAGTCTCGGTAGTTTATTTTATAGATTTATTGTAATTTTTGCATTTTTTATGTGTTTATTTGGCTATTTGCTTATTTGTGTTAATTGTTGTTAATTAATTGAGTTAATTGCAGCCTTTGTTTTATTTAATTGAATTATTTTCATTGAGTATTTGTTTTAATTATTTTCTTTCTTTAATTTATATTTACGTGGAAATTTGATTTAACTGTTTTATTGGTTTCTTATTCATCATTATTTTAGGGTTTTATTTTTCTTCACGGTTAGCCGATTTAGATATAATATGAATGGTTCTTTTCCCATCTCTAAATTAAACTAGAATTAGGGTTTTTAGTGAAACCTATAAATAGAACTGTATGCCAAGGGTTTGTAAACCCTGTTCATGTACACAGAGAGACGGAGAGAAACAGAGAGAAACAAAGTACTTCGTTTAGGGTTTAGCTAGGACTAAGGCTAAACTAAGGACATATTAAAGAGGTGTGCTCGAGGGTTGGACCAAGGAGAAGACAGAGAGAGAAAACAGAACGTTCGTCAGAAACCTTAGGAAGACGACGCTGAGATTTTGAACCGAAATCTCAAAGGCAAGTTCTACTCTTAACTCTTTTCCTTTGCCTCATGTTCTTTACATGCCTAATACAACTCCAAGAGTAAATAAACATCAAAGATTAATCTGGTTTGCATGATAGATTAGATTAAATCTGTATATGTGCATGAATCCGTATTTGCTTGTTTTAATTTTTCCGTGCATATTTCTTGTTCTTATTGAAGTTGATAAATGATTAATGTTTTTTTAAAAATCTCTGGAACACACTGGAACTAAATTTTAATCAGTAGAAACCTTTAAAGTGGAGGACAGATAAACGAGACGTCACCAGAGAGGAAACAGGTAAACAAGCAGATAGGAAAAGAGGGAGAAGAGGCAGCTCCCCACAAGGGTGGAGCCGGCTCTAGGATGTGTGGAGGCGGCTCCACATGGTGTGGAGCCGGCTCGACTCAAGGGGGAGGCGGCTCCACCCCCTTTCGAGGCAGTTTTGGTGTATTTTTACTTCTGGGTTTGTTTTTTTTTTACTATTCCGAGGTAATCAAAGGTTGTGCAAGGGAAGTTTGGTGGTATCTAAGGTCTTGTTGAATTCCAGAGAGCAGGATAAGGGATAATGAACCACCTAAGGATTATACCTTGAGCAGTATAAGATTCTTACATAATTTTGGTACACTGTTTTGGAGGTGGAGGATTTAAATTGCTTAAACTTATTTGTTGCAATTTTTCTGTGGATGGATTTATAGTTTAATTCATGTTCCAGTGGTAAAATATAAGCATGTTAGATTACAGAATTATTATATGCTTATAAATGATTAATTGACGTATACATGTGTTAAATGTAATATCAATTCTTGGATAATTGTGTAGCGGTATAAAGTAAGCATGTTCAAATATATATTTTGATTATGCTTATCACGGATTAAAGGATGTTTATACTTATTCTCTATGCTATAAAATATGAGAGAATCATGTAACAGTGGTATAAGACAAGCATGTTAGTTT